AGTTACAGGAGGGAGGACAAGAAGAGTTACGGGGGGGACAAGAAGAGTTACAGGAGGGGGGGCAATAAAAGGTACAGGAGGGGAGGGGGATAATAAAAGGTTCAGGGGAGGCAATAAAAGGTGGGGGACATTTAAAGGCACAGGAGGGGAGGTGGGACAATGAAAGGTATAGGGGGAGGGGGACATTGAAAGGGACAGGAATGCTGGGGGCAAAAAGAGAAACTCATAGAGGCTGAATGCACCCGGGGGGGGCAAAGAGACACACAGAGGGGCTGAGGGAGGACACATAGACAGACAGAAGGGTTGTGGGGAGAAAGACGTACAAAGGGACTTTGGGGGAGAAAGAGCCACACAAAGGAGCTGGGGAGAAGAAAGAGACAGACAAAGGGGCTGGAGTAAGTAAAAAATACACAAATGGGTTGTAAGAGAAACACAAGGAGATAAAACACAGCAAAGCGGGTGTAAGACACACAAAGGAGAAAAAGGGAGTAAGATATTCGAATGATAGGATAAAAACACTGAAGGGGGTAAGAAATTTAAAAGGGAGGGTTACATGACACACAGGTGAAGATGCATTTTTTGGGGGGAGGAGGGGCGGCAAAACGCATCTTCGCCTGTGTTGTCAGAAATCCTTGCACCGGCCCTGTGAGTGTGGCATGGTTGGGCACAAGTGAAAGGGTTAATGTGAAAGGGTTGGGGGTGAGTGTGACAGTATGAGAGAAGATGAGTGTGATAGGGTGAGTGTGGAAGAGCGAGGGCTGGTAATTGTGGTATGGATGGAGGGGGTGAGAGCGACAAGATTAGGAGAGGTTAATGTGAGCGAGGCTGGGTGAAGAAGGCATGACAGCATGTGGGAGGTGACAGTATGTGTGTGGAATTGTGACGGTGGGTAGGTAAGAGTGTGGGAGGCAGTGTTGGAAACAGTGACAGTGTGTGGGAGGGGTGACTGTATGTATTGGTGACATAGTGTTGGGGGCTGACAAAATGGGGTGCAAGTGTGTGAAAGGGTAACAGGGTGAGGGAGCAGTGTGGAGGAATGTGACAGTTTCGGGGGCAGGGTGTGTTACAGTGTGGGAGGGCAGTGAGGGTGGGAGGGCAGTGATGGTGGCAGGGCAGTGATGGTGGCAGTGAGGGTGGGTGAGCAGTGATAGAACGGGGCAGTGGTGGGAGGCAGTGATGGGGCAGTGAGGTGGGTGGGCAATGATGGGGCAGTGAGGTGGGAGGAGCATTGATGGTAGCGGTGAGGTGGGCAGTGATGGGGCAGTGAGGTGGGAGGGCAGTGATCCGGGCGAGAGGAAGTGAGAAATTGGGTGGAGGCAGTGATGGGGCAGTGGTGGCAGGGCAGTGATGGTGGCAGGGCGGTGGAAGTGGGCAGTGGCGAGCAGTGATAGGGCGGTAGTGGGCGAGCAGTGATAGGGCAGTGAGAATTGGAGTGGGCAGTGAGGGTGGGAGGGCAGTGATGGGGCAGTGAGGGTGGGTGGGCAGTGATGGGGCAGTGAGGGTGGGTAGTGATGGTGGGTGGGCAGTGATGGGGCAGTGAGGGTGGGTGGGCAGTGTTGGTGGGTGGGCAGTGATGGGGCAGTGATGGTGGGTGGGCAATGATGGGGGGTGGGCAGTGATGGGGCAGTGATGGTAGGAGGGCAGTGGCGGAGCAGTGAGGGTGGGGCAGTGATGGGGCAGTGATGATGGAGGCATTGGTAGGGCAGTGAGGTGGGTGGGCAGTGATGGTGGGAGGGCAGTGATGGGGCAGTGAGGGTGGGCAGTGATGGTGGGAGAGACAGTGATAGGGCAGTGAGGTGGGAGGGCAGTGATGGGGCAGTGATGGGAGCAGTGAGGGTGGGTGGGCAGTGATGGGGCAGTGAGGGTGGGCTGAGGGCAGTGATGGGTGGGAGGAGGGAGAGGCAGTGATGGGAGCGAGTGAGGTGGGTGAGGCAGTGGTGGGAGGCAGTGATGGGGGCAGTGATGGGGCAGTGAGGGTGGGTGGGCTGGCAGTGATGAAAGGTGGGAGGAGCAGTGATGGGGGCAGTGAGGGTGGAGGGCAGTGATAGGAGCAGTGATGGTGGGTGTGCAGTGATGGTGGGAGGGCAGTGATGGGGCAGTGAGGGTGGGTGGGCAGTGATGGTGGGTGGGCAGTGATGGGGCAGTGAGGGTGGGCAGTGAGGGTGGGAGGGCAGTGATGGGGCAGTGATGGGGACAGTGTGTGTGGAGGCTGTGACAAGCCTCCACACACTGAAATACCTTGTTTTGTAATAGAAGTCCCTGGTGGTCCAGTGGCAGCAGTCCCTGGTGGTCCGGTGGGATGACTTCCGTCTGCAGCTCCGTGAGAGCTGCAGACCTCGTTCTCGCGAGCGCCTGTCAGAGCGTTGCCGTGGTAACCCGCGGCAACGCTCTGTGTGCTTGCGAGAACCTTATTACATGATCTGCAGCTCTGCACTCGGCGGAGCTGCAGATCAGAGGCTGGCTCTCCGTGTGGGCATACCATGTGGAGGGGCCACCCGGCGGCATACTGGGCAAGCCGCCGGGCCCCCTCTCACTGTCGGGTCCTCGCCATGGACTGAGGACCCGACAGTTCAGTCTGCCCCAAGTCGATTTAGGCGGCCGCGAGGCCCCACACAGCGCGAGACCTTAGGCGGCCGCCTAAATCGCCTAATTAGAGAGCCGCCTCTGCATGTCATGATTCCCTTTTATTCCAGAAGTTTGGTCCTTACGGGGTTAAAGGGAATCTTTGAGGCATTTACCTGATCCTCTCTCAGTTATATGTTTACGAAGGTGTATGTTGCATTTCTGTATCATCCACCCAAGGTTCGACCTGCCCACCCTCCTCCTGATGTCTTTACTGATTTGCCGAGCAAATAACAGTTTGTGTTTATATGTGTCCCAGTGTGTGTCTATCTGTAATAGTGAGTGTGTATGTATGTATCTGTGTGTGTATGTGAGTGTATGAGTGTGAATACCTGTAACAGTTATTGTGTAGGTGTAAGGACATGTGTATGTGTTTGTAGCAGCATGTGTGTATGTGTGTGAGTCAGTGGGAGAGCGTGCATCAGTGTGTGCCCGATTGTACTTTGTTATTAAAAAGCAAAAGCGGTTCACTAGTAATCAGTAGTTGGATACGTTCTTAAAAGGTTGTGCTAATAGGGCCAGAATATTATCAGAATTCTATTGCACATTTGCATAAAATAAAGTTTGAAGACTTTGGATGTGCTTCTTCATGTTGGGAAAGAAACCTTATTTATTTTTATAAAATTTAGTTAAAATGTTGTTTTTTTGTTTTTAATTTTCCCCTCAGCCCCTTACCTATCCTAATCCCCGCACTACATCTTCTAACCCCCCTTTTGGTCCTATACCCCAATACTGCCCCTAACCCCCACTAATATGCCTAATACCACACTATGGTCCTGGCCCACAACTACAGTTGCTAACCCCACTCTTCATCCCCTAATCCCCAATACTGCCCCTAACCCCCACTAATACGCCTAATACCACACTATGGTCCTGGCCCACAACTACAGTTGTTAACCCCACTCTTCATCCCCTAATCCCCAATACTGCCCCTAACCCCCACTAATGGGCCTAACACCACATTATGGTCCTGGCCCACAACTACAGTTGCTAACCCCACTTTTCATCCTCTAATCCCCAATACTGCCCCTAACCCCCACTAATGCACCTAACACCACACTATGGTCCTGGCCCACAAATGCACTTCCAAACCCCACTCTTCACCCCCTAATCCCCAATACTGCTCCTAACTCTACATTTAAGCCTCTAAAACCCCACTATTACCCCCTATCCCCAACTGCTTCCCCTATTACTACCACTAATCCTGACTACAGTCCCTTATATTCTAACCCCCCACTTCAGCTCCTAACCCCAACTACAGCCTCTATCCCCCACTACTGCCCCTATCATCGCCGATAATAATAACCGAATTTTGTCTGAAAATTAATGAACGATCAAATGAGATTCATTTCGGATGAAACTAAAATATTTTTTCATGCCTCACCAGCCACTGACCTCATTGCTCGTTCCTGAAGTGAACTACAACTCAGAAAGACCTTAGAGAGGCTTTGTCAGAAAGATGACAGCACTTACAAGGGGGAACTTCGGGTGAGCTTAAGCCATTCTCTTCGTCCCCGGGCCACTGCACATAAAGCATGGCACATTGGAGAGGGGGCGGGTGAGAGTCTTTGCAAACTATAGTTGTATTATAAAGATTAAAAGAGCAATAGAGCATGTTTAAGAAAAAAAACATTTTTTTATTGACATCAGCAATGAACAGATATGAAATTCAGACTTAAATATTCACTTGATAATGAATAAATGAAACATTTTAGCCTAGATTATATACCATAAATTCACATTAGTATAATATACAGATAATCCCTGCAAACATTGCAGACAGTGTAAAATACACAATACTGTATTAATATCATCTCAATAATGGAGATAATAACAGAACATGTAATAAAACAGTCACTGTTATTCATGTCATAACACATGATACTGTATATAATAATAATAATAACCGAATTTTGTCTGAAAATTAATGAACGATCAAATGAGATTCATTTCGGATGAAACTAAAATATTTTTTCATGCCTCACCAGCCACTGACCTCATTGCTCGTTCCTGAAGTGAACTACAACTCAGAAAGACCTTAGAGAGGCTTTGTCAGAAAGATGACAGCACTTACAAGGGGGAACTTCGGGTGAGTTTAAGCCATTCTCTTCGTCCCCGGGCCACTGCACATAAAGCATGGCACATTGGAGAGGGGGGGAGGAGGGGTGAGAGTCTTTGCAAACTATGCAAAGACTATGACCATAATTGAGCCAATTTAAAGCATTGTTCAAATGATAAGCTTTGGTGAGAGTTTGGTGCAAAACTGGACAATTTGGGAACTTGCAGCACATGCTGGTACTTCACGTGAGAATATAGTATTGAATTAAGTTTTATAGATTTATCTGTAAGATGTGTCCCTTCACAAAACCATGTACTTAATTATGAAATATCTAATCATTAGCATATGATTGGAAATGTATAAATGTCTAAAGAATTGGGTCCCAAAGGTGTGTACTTTTTAATAACTTTTTATCCTGTTTTGTAGTTCATTTGTGGCATATATTTACCCTTAGTTGTATTATAAAGATTAAAAGAGCAATAGAGCATGTTTAAGAAAAAAAACATTTTTTTATTGACATCAGCAATGAACAGATATGAAATTCAGACTTAAATATTCACTTGATAATGAATAAATGAAACATTTTAGCCTAGATTATATACCATAAATTCACATTAGTATAATATACAGATAATCCCTGCAAACATTGCAGACAGTGTAAAATACACAATACTGTATTAATATCATCCCAATAATAGAGATAATAACAGAACATGTAATAAAACAGTCACTGTTATTCATGTCATAACACATGATACTGTATATACTGTACACCCAGATATTGAATGGATTAACATTAAAAGTCCTCACAGAGGATACGGCTGTTGTAATTTACAATAAAGGTTTATCATTTAATATTTCATAGCCTTTTATTACCCCATGGATTAGATCATAATATATCATAATATATTGCAAACCCAGGGTAGGAAACATTATAGAGCTGTGTCCCAGTCACCATAATATGGCATCTTACTGGTGGAACATCCCAAGCTCTCCCTACTCAGCTAATAACACTGTACCTAGAATTACATGGTAATAATATTATTATTACACACTGCAAAAAACAACCTTCATAGAAGGAAACTAATAACATTGTTAACAATCTATTACAGCCCTGATCCAATGACTCCAATCATTTCATGTAAGATTGCAGTAATTCCTGGCCTGAGCTGTTGTTTTAATATAAAACATACTTGGCTAATAGCATTAGTAAACATGCTTACACTATCATTATATGATAAATCATAAGCCTACAGAAGCACATTGTCCATGTGAGGTGGGCAGACATATGGTGATATGGGCTACTATTTCCAGTTTGTTGAAGTCCAAAAAGGTCTCTCACAGGTCATCTCAGGAAAAGGTCTGTAACTGCTTGACCATTAAATAGGTCCAATTCATCTCATAGATTGACTACCAGGGTCTCCACATGACTTTGGTGGTCTCTGGTGCTGTGTGTTTGCTTGCGGCCTGATAAAAAGTAACTTTAGAAGATAATTCCCCTTCTGGAAGAGTTTGTGTCCAATGGATGTTCTGCAGCAGCTTCACCTGGGCCTCTGCCTGTCTGTGCTGGGATAGGAAGCACTCGGAGACCTGGAGACACTTGGAGTAACCTTCTGTGTAGCTCTGGCTGGATGATGGAGCAGCTAAAGGGAGAGAAGAGAAAACCATTATTAGAATGATATTTCATTTAGTGTTTGAGTCTCAGTGACAGATGATCATTTCTCCTGATGTGAAAGACACACAGGTCAGGATACTTACTTTTCTCAGCCAGGTGCTGCTGCAATAAGGTCACTGTCATCTCCAGAATATCCGCTTTCTCTGGTTTGGATGGAAGATGCTGTTTGTGAAACTCTTTCTCCAGTAACACCCTGAGCTGCTCAATGCTGCTGTTAATCCGATCTCTCCTCATCTTCTCAATCACTGGCTTCCTGAGCTGGAGAAAGGAACAAACACATTACATTAGTATAAATACAGCTTCGTCTGGCATGGTAAAATGTCTAACTAAGTAATAAGACCCAAAACAACCGATGAATAAAGATTATCTCTTTTTTGTCACCCAAAATATTATTTTCCAAACTCCTATTCCCCTCCCCCCAGTGTCAAGTATCAGCCATTGATCAGGGCTTACCTTTCTCATTCCTTGTGCACTATGCCCATTGCCATCAGCTGGCACCATGCTAGGGCTAGAAGGGGCCATGCTTTCCAGTCAGTGGGTGAGAGCTGGAGTCCTGTCTGCTATGTGATCCAGTGATATGCTGCTAGTGAGGCAGGCAGGCCCTCTATATACTGCTCTCTCTGTATAATGATATGTGAGGATCAGACTGAGCACAGGTTCCCACACTCAGCAGCCAATCACAGCCCCTGCAGGGACAATAGGAGTGTGTCCATTAATAGGGCATCTGGTGCTGTGAATAGAGGAGGAAGCAGGGGGGTAATCTGTGGCATAAAGCTGGAGTGTGGGAAAGAGCTGCTCCAACAGGCTACTGCAAATAAATATTGATAGCCACATGTGTTACCTGGACCATGGCTAAATGAGCAATAATCTTCTATATGGGATCAGTAGAGGCCATTCCTTCTATGGATTTGAAGGACTATGCCCATACGGAATAAGTGAGCCAGAGATTCACATGTAATAAAGTAACAGAATACACAATGATGTCATCCTTAAAGGAATTAAACTGGTGAACCAAACTAAGGATACTTCTGAGTCAAGTTTCCCTCTTTGTCCATTTGAAATGCTGGGAGGTGTGAAGAGGAAGATCATCAGCGATATTTGAACTACGAAACCCAGAATGCTTTGCAAGCTTTAAGGCTGACAAACCATCTTTGGAGTTGTAGTTTCACAGCAGTTGGGATCTATGCTTTGACCATGATATAGATAGCATAGATTTAGATCTAATAAAGAATAAGGGGAGGATATTCCATTTTTGTCATCTTGACAGCAATGTAAAACTAATGACAGTCTGTTGCTGGGGTCTCATGGGATTGAATGTGTTTAAGGGAGATAACATTTCTCCGTCAATACAGATAGTATAGATATAATCACAATAAAAACAAAAAGAATTCAATTTAAAAATATTTATATATTTCAAGACATTAATAGGAGTTTGTAACCAACTGAGGTCTTGAATCAAGCATGTTTGTGGGAGATAACATTGGTCTGACATGTTAAATGTCATGTTGTCTGGAATTTTACAGAAAATAATGTATTTGGGCAGCTGGTGTATTTGGTTCTAATGATTGCAACGTTGATTGCTTATTTTACTGACATAAGTAAGATGTGCACATACGGCAATGCAGAGGTTAATGAATTTACATAGCATTGCTTATCATAACATGTAAAAACAAAAAAGAAAGAAATGGCTGACATTTTTTGGCAAAATAAAAGCATAATGCAGAGCTAACTTTTAGTTATCTGTTTGTCTGTGCAATTAATATCAGCATAGCCATAGACAGTTCTACATTAACCCCTTAAGGACACATGACATGTGTGACATGTCATGATTCCCTTTTATTCCAGAAGTTTGGTCCTTAAGGGGTTAAAGGGAATCTTTGAGGCATTTACCTGATCCTCTCTCAGTTATATCTTTACGAAGGTGTATGTTGCATTTCCGTATAATCCACCCCAGGTTTGACCTGCCCACCCTCCTCCTGATGTCTTTACTGATTTGCCCAGCAAATAACAGTTTGTGTTTATATGTGTAACAGTGTGTGTCTATCTGTAATAGTGAGTGTGTATGTATGTATCTGTGTGTGAGTGTATGAGTGTGAATACCTGTAACAGTTATTGTGTAGGTGTAAGAACATGTGTATGTGTTTGTAGCAGCATGTGTGTATGTGTGTGAGTCAGTGGGAGAGTGTGCATCAGTGTGTGCCCGATTGTACTTTGTTATTAAAAAGCAAAAGCGGTTCACTAGTAATCAGCAGTTGGATACGTTCTTAAAAGGTTGTGCTAATAGGGCCAGAATATTATCAGAATTCTATTGCACATTTGCATAAAATAAAGTTTGAAGACTTTGGATGTGCTTCTTCATGTTGGGAAAGAAACCTTATTTATTTTTTTAAATTTAGTTAAAATGCTGTTTTTTTCTTTTTAGTTTTCCCCTCAGCCCCTTACCTATCCCACCACAGCTCCTAATCCCCCCACTACACCTTCTAACCCCCCTATTAGTCCTGTACCCCAATACTACCTGTAACCCCCACTAATGGGCCTAACACCACACTATGGTCCTGGCCCACAAATGCACTTCCAAACCCCACTCTTCATCCCCTAACCCCCAATACTGCTCCTAACTCTACATTTAAGCCTCTAAAATCCCACTATTACCCCCATACCCCACTACTTCCCCTATTACTACCACTAATCCTGACTACAGTCCCTTATACCCACACTACGTCTTCTAACTTCAGTTCCTAACCCCCCACTACAGCCTCTATCCCCCACTACTGCCCCTATCATCGCCCATAATAATAACCGAATTTTGTCTGAAAATTAATGAACGATCAAATGAGATTCATTTTGGATGAAACTAAAATATTTTTTCATGCCTCACCAGCCACTGACCTCATCGCACGTTCCTGAAGTGAACTACAACTCACAAAGACCTTAGAGAGGCTTTGTCAGAAAGATGACAGCACTTACAAGGGGGAACTTCGGGTGAGTTTAAGCCATTCTCTTCGTCCCTGGGCCACTGCACACAAAGCATGGCACATTGGAGAGGGGTGAGGGGGGGTGGTGGGGGTTGAGGGTGGAGAGTCTTTGCAAACTATGCAAACAATATGAACATAATTGAGCCAATTTAAAGTATTGTTCAACTTCAAATAGTAAGCTTTGGTGAGAGTTTGGTGCAAAACTGGACAATTTGGGAATTTGCAGCACATGCTGGTACTTCACATGAGAATATAGTATTGAATTTAGTTTTATAGATTTATCTGTAAGATGTGTCCCTTCACAAAACCATGTACTTAATTATGAAATATCAAATCATTAGCATATGATTGGAAATGTATAAATGTACAAAGAATTGGGTCCCAAAGGTGTGTACTTTTTAATAACTTTTTATCCTGTTTTGTAGTTCATTGTATATTTACCCTTAGTTGTATTATAAATATTAAAAGAGCAATAGAGCATGTTTAACAAAAATGTGTTTATTTTATTGACATCAGCAATGAACACATGTGAAATTCAGACTTAAATATTCACTTGATAATAAATAAATAAAACATTTTAGCCTAGATTACATACCATAAAGTCACATTAGTATAATATACAGATAGTTCCTGTAAACATTGCAGACAGTGTAAAATACACAATACTGTATTAATATCATCTCAATAATGGAGATAATAACAGAACATGTAATAAAACAGTCACTGCTTTTCATGTAATAACACATGATACTGTATATACTGTACACCCAGATATTGAATGGATTAACATTAAAAGTCCTCACAGAGGATACGGCTGTTGTAATTTACAATAAAGGTTTATCATTTAATATTTCATAGCCTTTTATTACCCCATGGATTAGATCATAATATATCATAATATATTGCAAACCCAGGGTAGGAAACATTATAGAGCTGTGTCCCAGTCACCATAATATGGCATTTACTGGCTGAACAACCCCAGCTCTCCTTACTCAGCTAGTAACACTGTACCTAGAATTACATGGTAATAATATTATTACACACTGCAATAAACAACCTTCATAGAAGAAAACTAATAACATTGTTAACAATCTATTATAGCCCTGATCCAATGACTCCAATCATTTCATGTAAGATTGCAGTAATTCCTGGCCTGAGCTGTTGTTTTAATATAAAACATACTTGGCTAATAGCATTAGTAAAAATGCTTACACTTTCATTATATGATAAAACACTAGCCTACAGAAGCACATTGACCATGTGAAGTGGGCAGACACATGGTGATATGGGCTACTATTTCCAGTTTGTTGATTTTTCAAAAAAGTTTCTCACAGTTCATCTCAGGGAAAGGTCTGTAACTGCTTGACCATTAAATAGTTCAAATTCATCTCATAGATTGACTACCAGGGTCTCCACATGGCTTTGCTGGTCTCTGGTACTTTGTGTTTGCTTGCGGCCTGATAAAAAGTAACGTTAGAAGATAATTCCCCTTCTGGAAGAGTTTGTGTCCAATGGATGTTCTGCAGCAGCTTCACCTGGGTCTCTGTCTGTCTGTGCTGGGATAGGAAGCACTCGGAGACATGGAGACACTTGGAGTAACCTTCTGTGTAGCTCTGGCTGGATGGTGGTGCAGCTAAAGGGGGAGAAGAGAAGACCATTATTAGAATGATATTTCATTTAGTGTTTGAGTCTCAGTGACAGATGATCATTTCTCCTCATGTGAAAGACACACAGGTCAGGATACCTACTTTTCACAGCCAGGTGCTGCTGCAGGAAGGTCACTGTCATCTCCAGAATATCCGCTTTCTCTGGTTTGGATGGAAGATGCTGTTTGTGAAACTCTTTCTCCAGTAACACCCTGAGCTGCTCAATGCTGCTGTTAATCCGATCTCTCCTCATCTTCTCAATCACTGGCTTCCTGAGCTGGAGAAAGGAACAAACACATTACATTAGTATAAATACAGCCTTATCTGGCATGGTAAAATGTCTAACTAAGTAATAAGACCCAAAACAACCGATGAATAAAGATTATCTCTTTTTTGTCACCCAAAATATTATTTTCCAAACTCCTATTCCCCTCCCCCCAGTGTCAAGTATCAGCCATTGATCAGGGCTTACCTTTCTCATTCCTTGTGCACTATGCCCATTGCCATCAGCTGGCACCATGCTAGGGCTAGAAGGGGCCATGCTTTCCAGTCAGTGGGTGAGAGCTGGAGTCCTGTCTGCTATGTGATCCAGTGATATGCTGCTAGTGAGGCAGGCAGGCCCTCTATATACTGCTCTCTCTGTATAATGATATGTGAGGATCAGACTGAGCACAGGTTCCCACACTCAGCAGCCAATCACAGCCCCTGCAGGGACAATAGGAGTGTGTCCATTAATAGGGCATCTGGTGCTGTGAATAGAGGAGGAAGCAGGGGGGTAATCTGTGGCATAAAGCTGGAGTGTGGGAAAGAGCTACTCCAATGGGCTACTGCAAATAAATATTGATAGCCACATGTGTTACCTGGCCTATGTTTAAATGAACAATTATCTTCTGGATGGGGTCAGTAAAAGCCATTCCTCCTCTGGCTTTAATGGGCTATGTCCATCTGGAATAAGTGAGCCAGCTATCCATATGTAATAAAGTAACAGAATACTATGCAATGTCATTCTTAAAGGAATTACACTGGGGAACTAACATCTTAGCAGAATTAAACATACATCTGAGTAAAGTTTCCCTCTTTGTCCATTTGAAATGTCGGGAGGTATGAAGATAGAGCAAAAGTAGAATTTTCTTACATTAGGAAGAGCTGGAACTGAATAGAGGATTGACAGGAGGGTGTCAGAGACAGCAATAGTTCATATATCCAACACAGAGCAGGGAGAGCCTAAAGGAACATCATCCGCAATACTTGAACTACGAAACCCAGAATGCCTTGCCAACTTTAAGATTGGAGTTGTTCTTCCTCAGCAATCAGGGAACTTTATTTTGAAAATGTGCTAGATAGTAATGTTCTAATAAAGAATGAGGGGAGGAAATTCAATTTTTGTCAGAGAAACATAGAAGGTGACGGCAGATAGCCATTCACGCCATCTAGTCTGCCCAATTTTCTAAATACTTGCATAAGTCTCTTATATCTAGGATAGCCTTATGCCTATCCCACGCATGCTTAAACTATCACTCTGTGTCAACTTCTACCACTTCAACTGAAAGACTATTCCATGCATCCACTACCCTCTCAGTAATGTAATACTTCCTGATATTATTGCTAAACCTTTGCCCCTGCAATTTAAAACAATTCCATCTTGTTGTGGTAGTTTTTCTTCTTTTAAATATAGTCTCCTCCTTTACTGTGTATTCCCTTTATGTATTTAAATATTTCTTTCATATCCCCCTGTCTCGTCTTTCCTCCAAGCTATTCATATTGAGATCCTTTAACCTTTCCTGGTAAGTTTTTTCCTGCAATTCATGAACCAGTTTAGTAGCCCTTCTCTAAATGATCTCCAGTACTGCGTACAATACTCCAAGTGAGGTCTCACCAGTGTTCTGTACAATGGCATGAGCACTTCTCTCTTTCTACTGCTAATACCTCTCCCTATACAACTAAGCATTATGATAGCATTTCCTGCAGCTCTATTACATTGTCTGCCTACCTTTAAGTCATCTGAAATAATTACCCCTAAATCCCTTTCCTCAGATGTTGAGGTTAGGACAAATATTCTGTACTCTGCCCTTGGGTTTATCTTGCACTTATACACATTGAATGCCAGTTGCCACAGCTGTGACCATTTTTCTAGTTTACCTAAATCATTTGCCATTTGACTTCTCCCTCCTGGAACATCAACCATGTTGCAAATCTTAGTATCATCAGCAAAATGACATACCTTACCAACAAGACCTTCTGCAATATCACTAATAAAAATATTCAAGAGAATGGGTCCAAGTACAGATCCCTGAGGTACCCCACTGGTGACAAAACCTTGATTAGAATATACTCCATTTACTACAACTCTCTGTTGCCTGTCATTCAGCCACTGCCTTACCCATTCTACAATATTGGAATCCAAACTTAAAGATTGCAGTTTATTGATAAGCCTTCAATGTGCAACAGTGTCAAAAGCCTTACTGAAATCTAGGTAATCAATTTCTTCTGCACCACCGTGATCTATTATTTTAGTTACCCAATCAAAAACTCAAGATTAGTTTGGCATGATCTCCCTGAAGTAAACCCATGTTTTCTCTGAACTTAAAATCCTATCCTTTAACATGGTTTCCATTACTTTCCCCACTAATGAAGTAAGGCCCACTGGCCTAAACAAAAAATATATGACAATGTTGGCACTCAGCAGTGTAACTGGTACAGGTATTGAGGTCACCCTCTTATGTGACCTCCATAATACATAAAAAAAAAAATCAAGAGAATACTGCACTCAAATTAATGCAAAAGTATATATAATTTTAATCAAGAAAAGAGTTTCATAAAAGTACATATTGCCATTACATAGAAGGGGGCAGAAATAGGTACTGTGTAATTTCATGTAGGTCAAATATCACGAAGTATGTACAAAAAGCTTCTAATTCATAATATATACAGATCAGGATCACACATCAATTCATCAAAAGGAACAACGGTTAATCAATGGTACACTGATAGTAATCAATCATTAATCTGGTGGATCCACCCACTATCTAATATGCATAGTAGTATTATGCTTCAATTGGAAACAAAGTAAATCTTCTTAGATATCCCAAAAATTGGTTATGTATAACATAGGTAAGTAGAAAAAAGAAAATAAGAGAAAAAAGGAAGAAAAAAAAGGGGGGTGGGCGGGAGGTGACAAAAACTATATAGAGATCTGTGTATAATCCATTTGAGCAGTTGTAGAAAAAAAAATCCAAAAAGGAAAAGATAATGGTTGGATCTCCCCAAATTTGTAGGTTGTCTGTCCCGGCAAAGAAAGTTTGCCTAATCTAATCCCTTTCTGCCGAATCTTGTAGATCTGTCTATCTTCCTCACTCTGGTTTTTTTTAAATTACTAAATGCTACCTCTCGTTTTTTTTACCATTTTGGCCACTTCTGCTGAGTACCACAGTGGTTTCTTTACTTTTTTGCTCTAATGCAATTTTCTTTTGCCTTCAGTAGTGCAAATTTTAAATAATCCCATTTCTCCTCGACTCTATTTAAACCCAGGGCCAATGCAAGCATTTTTGCCGCCTTAGGCAAAAACAAATTTGCCACCCCATTTGCTCCACCCAATCATGCAGACTAACACACACACTGACTTAAGTAGACACACACTGACACAAGCACTAACCCATGTAGACTGACACACTGACCCATATGCACACACTGATCCATGTAGACAAACACATACAGACACACTGACCCATGAAGACACACACACATAGACACACTGACTCATGCAAACTGACACACACACACTAACCCATGTAGACTGACGCACACTGACCCATATGCACACACTGATCCATGCAGACACACACATACAGACACACTGACTCATGCAGACACACACACTGACAAATGCAGACACACACAATGACCCATACAGACACACACAATGACCCATACAGACAAACAATGACCCATACAGACATACACACTGACCCATACAGACACACACAATAACCCATACAGACACACATACACTGACCCTTACAGACACAGACAATGACCCACACACACACACTGACCCATCCTGTACAGGGGAAGGGGCGGGAGTGAAGAATTGAAGTGCCCTTGCAATGCCAACGCTGACACCGTCACAATGGAAGTGAGGAAGGGGTGGGGCCTGGTTGAGAGAGCTAAAGTGTTTGCTGCCGAACCGGTGTTCTACTGGTTCCCCGGGAACATGACCCGAGACACGCTCTTGATAGAGGGGCAGCTGCGGCATAAACTATCATAAACAGTTTAAACCACTTCATTGTTGACAGCAATGTAAAATTAATGATAGTCTGCTGGGGGCCCGTGGGATAAAGGATGTTTTTAAGCGATAACAATTTTCAGTCCATGCAGATAATAGAGATCAGTGGCGTACTAAGGTAGAGGGGGCGGTCCGCCCAGGTGCCACCAGGGGGGGGGTGCCTTGGGAGGGGGCACCGCCAGGAGCGCC